AAAGAAAGAAAGAAAGAAAGAAAGAAAGAAAGAAAGAAAGAAAGAAAGAAAGAAAGAAAGAAAGAAAGAAAGACTGTTGTGCACAATCAGGATAACTGAAGAAACATTTCAGCTTCCCTCTAAAAGCACCAAAAGAGTGGACTTACTTGCATTTCTACACTTGGGAAAATGTCACAATATTTTGCCGAAACTTTCTTGTGCAACGATTCCACTCTCTCCTTCCGATGGACGCTCCCGGGCCCAAAAACGACAGTGGGCAAATCTAATTTTAGCTTTTTCAGGCTCCATTTGCTGAGCCACTGTTGGAGAGGAGGAAAAAAAAATGGAGGTTTGTTGTGTGAATGAGGGGGACACCGCAACTGAAGAAGCATTCAATGATTTCACCATCTTTCTGTTCAGGCAATGTGTTACGGACAATACATACTGACTTAGTGGAGCAAATTTCTTCCTCATTTGGCAACACCACCGAAGGAATAATCCTTTTCCCACTCTTTCTGAAAACTGCCTCTGGAGGGGAAGAAAACTGAGTTATTCTTGCTCTTAAAACACACCCCATTTTTTTAAAAAATCCTCTCTTTAAATACTCCTTCCTGGAAGGAGAGAAATATGAATTGACAAATGCACAGATAAATCTCTCAGATGGAAAAAAAATATTCCTGTTCTGTAACCAAGGGGAGGGAATGTTATGCACCTTAGGGTGCTAAAAAGTTTTCAAACATCTCTGTGGGGAAAAAATAATAATTGCCCCATTACCTGAAGACACTCACCTATGTTTTTGCTTCGGCTGTAATCCAACAAACAGAGTGACATCGGTGGCTGGTTTTTTGCCTTGGATTTCTTTCTGGCCTGGAGAAACTCTTTTATGGGCTGAACTGCACAATAAATCAAATCATCATCATCTTTCTTCCTATCTATCTATCTATCTATCTATCTATCTATCATCTATCTATCTATTTTTTTCTGAGTCTCTCGCGGGTATTTGTATTTGGATCTTTGGTTATTCGGGTTTTCTCCCGCGTAAGATTCAAAGTATCTAGGCAACGTTTCGGCGAGGTCCCACTCGCCATCTTCAGGCTGGTGCTTTCGGCTTAGTGCCAGTGCAAGCAGTGTGTGACCGGAGCTGCCATCTCTCTATATATACAAGTGGTGGGGGATGGTGTGCTGGGCTGGTTGGCTGTGCTGCAGCCTCTTGATTGGTTGATGGAGTTGATGTTGGTATAATGGGCTGTGTAATGGCCTTTTGTTGTAGAGATATCCTGGATCTTGTGCTGTCATCTCCTGGGTCGTTAGCCTCTTGTGTTTTAACGGCTTGGGTAATGGGTTGTGTGATGGGCTTGTGAGTTCTTTTGTTGTGGTATCCTGGGTCTTGCGTTGTAATCTCCTGGGTCGTTTGTGTTTTGATCTCTTTTCCATTAGCCTCCTGTGTAGTAACAGCTTGGGTAATGGGTTGTGTGATGACCTTGTGAGATTTATTGCTGTGGTATCCTTGGTCTTGTGCTGTGATATCCTGGGTCATTTGCTGTGTTGTGACTTCTTGAGTTCTTGAGGTGTAATTTCTTGAGTTTTCTGATGTGATGTCCTGAGCGGGTGGCTGTGATGTAGCATTTTGGGTTTTTAATATGGCTTTGAGTTTGGGGTCTGGGTCTGTGTTCGTTTGGCTTCGAGTTCGTGGTCGTGCCACATCTTCATGGTGGGGGTCAGTTCGCTTCATGTATGGTTCAGAGGAGTTTGAAGTGGGTAGTGATGCAGCTGCAGTGCGGCTTCTGGTCTGTGGTCGTGTCTCATCT